AACTTGTGAGGATTCCAGAGAATCTGTGAAATTCCCAGAGGGATTCTGAGTCCCCATAGGAACCAACCACTCCTCTGTCCATTGGCCGTACTGCTGTGACCTGTGGTCACTCTTGTTGCTGGGGCACTGGCGTCGGTACCGACAGGCAGCAACCTCACGCACCACCAGGCAAACACCGCCCGGTCCTGCGCCAACCGCACAGTCGTTGCCACGTTTGAGCCCGCTGTTGCAGCTACCGGGTCAATCCGTCTCGTCCAGGGCCCGCCTCTCTTTTTGCTGACCTCCCACGTTCCCAAGCATGATGTCCTTTCCCAGGGACGGGTGTCTCCTGACCCCATGTCCAAAGTATGTGAAATGAGGTCCCACCACCCTCGCTCCTGAAGCACATTCCGTTGTAGGCCACTGGAAACTCAAAGGCCAGCAGGGCCACCACGGTGGACAGGCACACTAAGAAGGACTGGACAGAGGGCCCACTGGCCTGCATCTGAAACAGGCTGGCTGATGAAAGCATATGGGACAACAGCCGGGAACTGTCTGGTAACGGGATGAGCCCCCAGGTGAAGGTGCTCAAAACACCACTGGGACAGTGCCCTGCTCCCAGCGCCGCCCTTGGTCACGTGAATGCCACGAGCGCCCAGCATCCCGCGTGCTGACAGGGCAGGGCTCAAAAGGAGAGAGGAGTGGCAAGTACCCACTCCTAACCGGAACACGCGAGTCTGGAGCTCGGCTCTTCACTAAACAACTGAAGCTGCCAGGAGTGAAATGGAGCACAGTACATGAAGGACATCCTAGACCCTGGCCAGCGGCGTGAGCTGGCCTTTTACGTCTCACAGCCGCAGGGTCTGCGGTGCCGAGAAACACAGACAGGGAAGGCCATCATCGCCGTCTTCAGAAAGACCAGGTCCGGATCCAGCAGGGACCAGGTGTGCACGCACCTCTGAACAAGACCAGTGAGCGCAGCTGGGGTTCAGCAGGGACCAGATGGTGTGCACGCACCTCTGAACAAGACCCGTGAGTGCAGGTGGGGTTCACATTTACACACAACCACTGATGACCACGATGAGAACCAGGAGGTGCATGGCCTCACGCTCTCTGACTCAGGCCAACCCACGGTCCAGACGCCCTGAGTGTCCACCGGTGATTGGGATGTGGAGCAAGCTGGAAACAAAAAGGAAGAATCGCAAGGTGCTGATATTCGAGACAGAGGGTGCTGGTGACCACGGGAGAGGACTCGGCCAGACCACCAATGTGCTCAGCACAAATGTCCCTTTTGGGCAACTCAAATGGCCACTGTACCGTCCGCGTGGGCTTTGCAGGAGCCCGCAGACGGGAGTCCAACAGCTCCATCTGTATCCCAACAAGGGCCAAGGACCCTGTGGTCCGACCATCACTGGCTCATGTGCCACGTCGAGATGAGGCTGAAGAAAATCAAAACACACCCACCACCGCCAAAGCAGACCCCGAACACAGCCCACCTGGGGATCCCACGCCTCAAGAGGTCTGAGGACTGAACACCGGCGATGCACGCCCGTGCGAGCTCTAGGACGCATGCGACGGAGAAAGCAGGGTCTCGTTTAAAAGACAGCAACGGAGCGAAGAGCAAAGCAGA